GCATGTTGATCAGTGTAATGTAGTAAACAACCAAACAAAAAATTGGTTTGTATTATCCAATCAGATGTGATGTAAATTATCATTTTAATAACATGATCGCGACTGCCATTTTTTTCTGCCACTACTGATATTAATTACAGTTCCCATCTTTAATCTGGATTAGCCATTCATTTTTAGTTTACTTTTTTGAATTTCATTAGACTCTTGAATACGTTTTTGATCTTTAGCAAATGCTTCAATAATTGTAGGATCTACATTGCCTTCTGCTAACTTAATATGAAATGTTGACTGACGCGAAACATTAGTAACAATTTTATTTTCATCATTACTCTTTGGACACAAGTGCTAATGATAGCAATAATGTTTATAAAATCACTGGTCTTAACACAATATTTTGTCTTTTCCTCTATAGTAAGTTTTCTCTTTCTCTTATCTGGTAAGAGAGCCTCTATTTACTCTTTACTAAATGAACACCTGTTATCAGTACCTTTAGTAAGTACAACCTTAACACATCTGTGGGCCATCTATTCAGAAAGTAAAGTATCAAGTTCAGGAGCATGTTTACTTAATTATTCTGAAATGGAGTTAGCAGACAAATTATACTTTTCTAGGAACTGATTCAAGATGCTGATATAGTTATTAGTTTTGGATTTTCGAGTTTTTGGGGTAGCCATTTTTGTAACTATATCAGGATCCCAAACTATACTAATAGAACTCATAAATGTAGTACAAACATGCAATTAAAATTATATTGTATGATATAACTCGGTCAATATTAATGCTAGAAAGATCAAAATTACTACCATTAGATTCCTTTCGGTTAGACGAATCCAATGATATAAATTTCATTAAAACTGAATCACGTGTTATTGAGAAAATGGGATATGTAGGATAAGTAAATTTGTATAAATAAGCAACTTTTGGCAAAGTTTACATATAAACTCTACGCAAACTCAAATGTGAGTTATATTAGTATAGTTTGGAATCCTGTTATGTCAATACTAACTGTTATCTAGTTATATTATGTGAGAAAAAAGTTCAATTTGAAAATTTCCTCAATTATAGATTTCAGGATACCATACAGCAAAGGTTTGAAGAAAGAAAAAAATAATAATATAACTCACACAGTCCTAAAGAGACTAGTTTTGGCCAAAGACGCTAAAGCAAAAGAATTTTGAATATCTATAATTAATATCAAAATTATCTCGTATGGATCATCTATCCTATCAATATATCAAGAATGATGAAATGATTTGTAGAAAAGGATGCTGGCGTGCTTCAGAATGTACCAGACATTATAAAGTTCATCCTAAAAAAATATGCCTTATCTGTAATAAGTAAATCTATTCTCATACTAAAATCTGTAACATATATAGTAGAATTTATGACCATATTTGATACGAAAGTAAAAAAACTAAAACAGAATCAACCACTTTAGGATTATCTAATATAGTCAAGATACTTGGCTGAATAAGAATCTGAACTGGAAAACTATTTTCCTTACTCTATAGAATTAAAAGTTCCTGGATCTCATTATCTGCATTTGACTTATATAGTGGAAGTTCTAATGCATCTTTATCTCCAAAACTAAGGCTATTATATGGCCAGTGATTAATTTGATATGAACGTTCCCAAACTTGTTTTTCTTTAGATCCTATTTTTTTCCTATTTATCTTTACAGTATAGTCACACTAATTTTCAGCAATTGTATTAATTGCCCTTATAGCTGAATTAAGTTCTGATATTACCTAAGTACGAGACTTGAAATCAAAGAGTAATAGGGATTAATCCAAAATTTCTATAAACCTTTTATAAGATCGTGTGAATGCTTCTAATACTATACTACCAGAAAGAATATGCTCATCATCTATGCCTATAAAACCTAGTATTTGAAAAAATTCTTATATAACTTCCCAATACTTTGCTGAATAAGAATTATGCAAGTTTTCTGCTACTGATTTTTTCAGATTCTCTTCAGCTCTATAGCAGGTAATTTAGATTGTATATTTCTTCAGCTTTCAATCCCTTTATTGTACTCACCTCATCATAATCTTGCCTTCGAAATAAGACAACTGTAAGAAATACTTCTAAGTTTCAGGTGAACTAAAAATTTCAATAAATTTTCTATTGCAAATATTATTCCAATCCTTGATACTCATGCCTTTACAATAAAGATTCTGCATATAAAAATGTTTAAGTGCTATAGTATTTGTGATAGAATACTCTTGGTCGAATTTAAGGACTTCAGCTTCTTCAGAACTAAGATTTTGGGAAGTAGCAATATTGTTAAAATCTGTATTCTTGATAACTAATACTTCAACCATAACCTCATTGCGAACCCTTTTGCGATTTCCTATAATTCCTTGACTCTCATCCATTTTTATAAATTGAAGGAAAGCATCTGTATTGGCTATGAGACTACAAAGCTTTTCAATAAAATATCTTGCAGAAAGATGTTTCTGATGCTCAATTTCAATAAAAGTTATTACAGCTGGAGATGAATCAACTTTATAAGAAATGGTATTATTATTCCATTTACTTTATTGCTGTAGGCAAATTATTAGGTCAAGCACTTTCAAGCTCTGCTCAAATATTTTTATAATCTGGTAAGCAAAAAAGTTCGTTAGAATTCTTCTGATAGAATAAAGAAACAATATGATAGGAAGAATCACAAATTCAGTAAAGCATTTATGTAAGAGCTTCAACATGAACTGAAGTGGCAATATTTGTAATAGCTATGACTATATCGAAGTGGCCTGTAATTTAAAAGATATACCTGCTTCCACTGTATTTGTATAAGTCATGCAATCGAGTTTGCTTCAGATATCATTAATATTAGAAAAGTCTTTTTGTCTTTGCTTCCCATCCATATTCCCATAATATGCATGGACTCTAACAGGTGATTATCAGGTTTAGATAACTTAGATGCTTTTTCTATTAATGCTCTAGCTATCACTGCTCTAGTAAATACAAATTCCAATCGTTTTCCTTGTCTCAAAAGGTCATATCCTATTCTTATAACTTTGGTTTCACTATTCGGATCATAAAGAATTTCAACCATCTCATCTACACGAGACTGATATCTATTATCAATTATATGAATGTCTTCAATATAATATACTTTAAGAAATGCTAATGTTGACTTATTCACAAAGGCATTCATAGCCAAAACATGTCTTGCAGATATTAAGATATCATGCATTGCATTTTCAGACTCTCATTCATTTGTACTATTAGCCATTTGGCATATGATAGTATTGGCTTCATCGAAAATAACCACAAATAGACAAGCTGTGAATTCAATACAAAAAAGATTTTCAACTTGTACTATAATAATATCCCACTCATTTATAGATAAGTCTCCTAGCTTATTTTGGTAATTACAAATTCAGAAGCTGAATACTTTTAACTCATCAAGTTTTGCTTTTGACTCGTTACTAAAAGATTTTTGGTAAGAGATTCAGATATAACATAGCATAGAAGAGATATCATGCACCTTACTCTTTAATGCTATAATGATTTCTTTTAATATAGTGGTTTTCTATATTATTAGGAATAAGCGAATTAATGTAATTGTTCTTTTAGTACTTAAGAAATTAGGATATGATTCAGGAGCATCTTTTAGCTTTTTAACATTAATAACTTCTCCCAGTAATTTTACAAGAGGATGCAGTTTTACTACAGCATTAGCTATTCTTTTAGCTATTCCTCACTTAAGTATTGTGAGAATTTTAGTCACTTTTCCAAATAACAAACCTTTATATTCTAGCTTATATTATTTTTGCCAATAACATTTGAGTATAAAGTATCCATCTTTTTGAAAAAAGTCATATAACTGATTCCTTTCATGTTTGATATTGCAAATAGGTCATTCTATAAATGATTTGATATAAAAAGTAATAAACCTATTTTCAGCTTTTCTGATTTTAAGCTATTCATATTTTGCAATAACTAAACTAGCTTCCTTGCTTAAAACAGTTTCATCTTCAATAGGTTTGAACTCCTCTTTTTCTGACTTCTCAGAAAAAAAGGTTCATAGCTAAATTTCTAATAATTTGATTTAAGTTGAATTAAATAATCTTCTAGTTTGTGCATTCTGTTTTTGATTGAAGAAATCACAGGTCTTTTGATTCTATCTCCCTTTGCTGATCTAAGAAGTTGAAGACTAAAACGTGATTTGTAAAGCATGAGATCAATAAATTCAGAATATGGTTTTCCAACTCTATTAGTGACTTTTCCCACAAAACCCTTAAGGTTTCTATAATCAATAAAATAAGCTGAAGGATATATGATATGCTAACTGCATTTATCAGTATTAGACAAACTAGCTAAAGCAAAATCATTTAAAGTTATGAGATGTTTTAAATCAGAGCATAAGATATCAGTGCAAGCAATTAAGATTCTGGATAATAAATCATCATGAGAAATTTTATATCCATTTAAGGAAGGAAGTTTAAGATTCATGGGATTGGGTTTCTGCTTTACATCAATATTCAGAATCAGGCAAAGAAGCAGGTTACTATCAATACATTCATAAGCATCGGGTATCCCATAAACTTCAGATAGGTAATTGATTAATGTAAAGCCCGATCCTGCCACCTAAATGATATATTTGAAAACAATTTCTTCAGCATGATAGGCTTCTAAAAGAGCCACATCCTCTCTAATATTAGATGCCAATAAATGTTGAAAATATGTATAATCATTATAGTCAGGCTTATAATCAAGATCTATTATACCTGAGAAAAGCCTTATTGCTTCATTTATTTCTATAGGATTGGGTTGAATTTTTTTTGCGCAGGTGTAGATAGCATAGTAGTATATGCAAGAAAGCAGTATAAAATTACATAAAAAACTGTAATCTTCAAAATAAATAATGTAATGTATATCTTAGAAATGAAATAAAAATACGTAAAGCTATTTTGGCTTCTGATCCAATTATTAGTACGCGTATGCAATATATATATTAAATAATACTTTAAAATAATTGATGTAATAATATCCTGAAGTAACAACTATACAAAAAAAGTTCTAAAAAAGCAGGAGCTCAAAACAAGATATAGATTTGGTAGGCCAATCAAGCAGAATTATATATAGGAAAGAAAAGAGAAATTATGCTTGAGTAGCCTACCGATAATAGGTAGAAAAGAGGTCAAAAAGGTGAAAAGACTCAGAAGAATACAAGAAAAAAGAGTATGAAAGCCATGAAACCTGAACTAATTCAGCACTTTATACCTCACCCGGCATTCAAAAAATGGCAATTGAGAGAAATATATGAATTGCAAGTTTGGCATTTTATGCCTTAACTCAGCAATCAAATGGGTCAAATATAGCACATCTCTGGCAATTAAGAGAAAAATATATGGATTGCAAGTTCAGCACTTTGTGGCTCAACTGACAATTAAATGGGAATATAAAGGTAGGATTGCAAATAAGTTCAGCATCCTCTCTTGATATGTTGATTTGCAAGAAATAACCTTTTCTTTCTTGGCAAATTTCAGTGAATAATGTTTGCCCAAATCACATACTCTAAAGATCAGCCAAAATTATACTATAGAGCTGACTGAAATTATGACATAGAGTTGGCCAAATTAATCACGAATTTACTACACTACTGACATAATTTTTTTATTACAATTTGGTATTTTAACAGGCAATCAAGCAGGTATAAAGATAAGCTCCTTAATATAGAATCAAGAACCCATTCAGGCGCAAATGACTAGCATCCTTGACATAAAACCAAGTATCTAAATAGTTACAGAAGGCTAATAACTCCCAATATAAAATTTGACATCCATTGAGATACAGGAGATTAACACTAACTAAATAGCTACAAAGTAACAAAAAGACTGCAGAACAATGAAAACAAGTAGATAACTACAAGGTAATAGAGTAATAAAAACAGTAACAAGATAAAAGTCTAACAGTAACAGGTAACAGTTTAATAGTAATTAGGTAATAGTCTAACACAGCTGAATAACATTCTTATAAGAGTGTTATCCAGTATATTTAATAAATTTAAATTTTTATTTTTAGATTTTAGTAATTATATTCAATTATATATGATAATCCAGCAAATATGAACATAATGTTACAAAAAAAATTTTTAAATTTAAATAAGCAAAATATTGAATTTGATTCATATCATCAATATATTAGATGTCTTGCTCATATTATTAATATAGCTGTACAAAAAGTACTTAAAATCTTAATGCATTAGGATTAGATAATGAAAATTCCTTAAATGAAAAAATTGAAATTGATGAAAATTTACAAAATATTATATATAAAGTAAGTTATATAGGAGCTTTGCAGTAGAAAGGGAAGAAATTCTAAAAAAATTTTTTTTTGAGTTAATGTTAAATCTGGACTTATTTTACTAAAAAAATCATAATTAACTTAAAAAGTAAAATTTGTATTTTTTTAGAGTTTCCTTCTTTTCTACCATATTCTATTATTTAATAAAAAATTTATTATAATTATTAAGCTTAGAAAATTAGTTTAGTTTGGAAAACTTATGAAAAGGATTATCCGGTATTATCAATGATTGCTAAGGATTATTTAACAATCCAAGCAACATCGGTTCCTTCAGAAAGGGCATTTTCGATTTCAGGTTTAACTATTTCAAGAACAAGAAATAGATTAGATCCTGAAACAGCAAGAGCCATAATTTGTACGAGAAATTGGGTCATTGAAAAAAGAAAAAACAATATGAACTCGGTCCACGGTCTGGTTTTACCCCTTGGACCACATGAAACCGGACCTAACCGGACCAGATCGAACCGTTAACATCTCTAGTTACCGATTACACAATAACGATAATATGTCAAATCGATCAAATATGCCAAATCGATCAAATGAGATCAAAAATGATGACTATCATGGGAAAAAGTATGTGATAACGTATGACGTATCGTTACTCTACGACTCAAAATTATGACTCAAAATTATACATCCTTATATATATATAATGCGTCTGTACCTTTCTCAACAAATAATTTTCTCAAATAAATTTTTCTCTAGTATCGACATCATGGCAATTTGTCTTGTTCTATGCGATCCTGTTACGGATACATTCGTAATTGATATTACTCCCGAGATGTATGAGAATAAGCTGATTTCACATATTAGGGGATTAGTCTATAGTTATAACGTGAACTCCTTTGCTGGGATTGACGAAAAAAGAATAAAATTGTGGAAGGTTACTATTTCTACAAGCGATACAAGCAGGGCGAACAAAAAGCTGGAAATACTTAAAAGTCTGGAAAATTCTCGTATAGAAATTGATACTGTAAGAGACCTTGGGGGTGTATTCTTGCCTCCAGGTGAAGAGATTCGTAAACATTTCAACGAAAACGAAAAGCTCGCTAGTGGACACATCCACATAATTGTTGAACCGCCAATGCCCGCCACCACTAGTAAGTGTCTCCCAATGGTTTACCTCTCGAACAAGAAATTTGCAGTAACAAAATATCGAGTTTGGTCTGATATCTTTTTTTTTTTCGCGTTAAAGCAGGTCCTTTGCGAGGCGTTACGCAAGGTATTGTATTTCTCGTTAAATAACTTCGAGTATCTATTGGTTTGGAACGATGTCAAAAAAAATTTCTAACAAAGCTTTATTTCATCAAAAGTATTTGAAAACATAGAGGAAGTATTGAAGAAGGCGGAGTCTCACTGGGCAAAATTGAAAGACAAGCTGGTCGAAAAATTTGAACTGAAAGAATTTAGAGTTTCAGACCACATATATAAAGATTGTATTAATGCATCCGGAATTCCTGTGATTAAAGGAAAACCTTCGTTCCTTTTGCATTCATTACCGAACTCTGACAACAAAGAAGGTTACATCCCTGAAAATATTCTTTCTGCACTTCTTGACAAGGTTATGACACAGCGTTGGCTCTTCTTAATGGGCACTTCCGGGTAAGAATCAGAATCATTGCAATTCAAGATGGCTTAAATGAAAAGGCAAATGGAATGATTCCTTTCTTTTTCCCTTTTTTGTTCTAGATCTGGAAAAACCCGTTCTTTATATGAGTTATTTTGTAGCACATATGGAATTTACTTTTCATTGAACACCGGAAATGGTTCCAAAAACAATAACTTTGGCTCTCGAGACATGGATAAAACTATCGAGGATTTGGGCTTTAAATTAGTTCCTAACAAATCTCAAGAAAATATCAATATAGCACTTATGTACACTCG